TTTATTGGTTCAACAATTTTCTTTTTCCAGTGTAATACAGCCAGTAATTTTGAACACAGTGAAACTGATTACATTTCAAATCAGTGGCATTATTATTATCATTCTCATTTTTACCCCAATGAGACTTTCAATTAAAACCATAATCTGTGAATAATCTAGTGGAAACAAATCGAGGCCATGCACTGGATCAGTTCCGATCAGAGCGGTTAACAGTGTTCGGGATTATCAGCATGCACATAATCACAGAGATGAGAGCTGGAAGCCGATAATACACAGTCAGTAGCATTCAGTCATAGTAAACAAGTCTCATTAACAGCAGGACTTAAAAAGAAAAGACAAATTCAAACTTTCGCTGTGAGACGACAAATACAGCTGTGAGCGAGTGGGAATTTCCAGGCAGGTTTTGAGGTCGTCTAAATTATTAACACACAGAAAAACAAAACAGGGAGAGAAAGTCAATGAAAGAAAAATTTGAACAGGCACGTTGTTGTAGACGAGTGAGAGCGGAGGTTAATGTAAACAATCCTGTGTGGAGTGTGGTGGAGAATTTCAAAGAGACGTTCTGCTGAGAAAGAGAAACTGGAGGATTGTTTGAGAACTGTGTTTTATCTTATTTTTAATAAGATAAAACACATAAGATATGTTGAGGAATGAAGCAGGAAAACTACTAAATTAATATTGCAACATTTTTGAGAATTATGCTTATTCGCTCATTTGCTGACAGTTGAACTCAACAAGAAGATTGATCGCTTGTTTTCCCCTGTTCCCAATCTTTATGCTAAGTAACGTGTGACCTTAACAAAGATCCAGAATCACTATTTGAGCATCTGGGCAAGATGGGCAGCAAATGAAATTCATATATATTTCATGTATAAATAAAAGCAGGGACATATAACACATCAAATATTAGACAATAGTACAGATCAATGGCAAAAATAAATTATGGACCATAAAAAGCAGATGTGAGGTTCAATGAAAACTGATTTTGTTTGTATATTTATCGTACAGACGCAAGAGTGGTGTCAATCTTCTCATCTAAAAATGCAAATAAACACATTTCCCCCAAATAATCAAGCTATTCCCATGAAGCTAAACATGTAAATATTTCACAAAGGAAGAAAACACTGAGTTCAGTGAGAAACAAAACTGTACAAGTATCCAGACTGTAAAAAAACAAAAAAAGAGATTAGAATATATACATGAAATGCACAATGCATGGCTCATTCCCGCTGTCCAGGCACCACTGACGATACCATATCAATAAGATGAGAGGATATACTGTATGGCATGTTAGCATCACAGCTGAAATCAAACACAGCGACACGCAAAAGAAACTTGGATGTTTTGGGTTGCAGAGTCTGTGGATGATTCAGTCTCGTCTGTGATGAGCGCTGCGATGACGACTGAGCACGAGGAAGCTTTGCTTTAAAAAGTCTCTGGCAATGTGCGGTCATGACCGGACGGTTCAGTCTGGGTTTGTCCCCCTCGGACGAGACAAGCGTCCTCAGCTGGAGCAGTTAGATCGGCTCCACGTAATTGGCCGGGTAGAGGCCCAGCTGGCCGTTCTCTAGACGACCTTTACACCAGCCCTGCTCGTCCTCCTCCTCCAGCTTCAGCAGCTCGTCGCCTTCATCGATGAGAGGAGACAGAGATGTGCAGCAGGGTGAAATCACATGATGCGAGTTTATTTGTAAGGGCCCAGTCACACATACATGAATAATACACATGTGACTGCCCTAAAGCAAGGGAGTTATATATATAGTATGGTATAAAGTAGAGTAAATGTATTAGCAATAGAAGATTTTTGTTTCAGAATAGATGATGCTACTTTGCTTAATGTACTGAACTGTGCTTGGAACTGAACGATGGCTTGAGTGGAAACTGTGATGGCACCGATACAAGATGTATGATGGGATCAACCCTGCGACTGATACCGTACGTCAGGAGTCACCAGGCCCGACTCTCACCTGCTCTGAAGCTGAGCTCGTCCTGCTCTTGTCCGTCGTAGTCGTACAGCGCTCTCACTTTCACGCCCGTCCCCGCGTCCTCATCGAAGGGGTTCATCCCTCCGTTGGTGTCGTTGCCCGAGTTCGGTGCCGTCTGGTCCTCGTCCGACCACTCTGTGGAGGCCGTGAACGCCTGGTTCTTCTCGTAGCTGCTGACACTGAACACAACACAGTTCAGCAGAGAATGAACCATTATTATATTTCATAACTGCCAGTATATTGGTTTTAATATAGGTTTTATTGCATCTTTTCAGTGTTTTTTTACTTTTTAAATGATTTACACAGCTTTTGCTTTCATTATTAAGAGTAATAGAGTTTTATGAAAGTTACTTTTGTAAACTTTTACTTCTTCACTTTTTGCACATGTGAGCAAAGACCTTGAAAAGAGACCTAGACAAAGTATTTTCTATTTCTAAAAGATTATTTTTGAAATACTTTTAAATAAAATCAATTTTTGTTGAAGCATACAAATCTGTGTCAGACAGTAAAGCTCACGTTTGGAGAATCAGAAATATTACAACACAAACATTATAAATTATAATATGTCTTACCTTCCGCGGTCTCCGGCCTGAACTTGGTCTACTGCTGTGTTGACGTTGGTCAACGTGATGCCTTCGCTGCCTTTCTTTGACTTCTCTTTCTTCGTGATGCTGTGGGAAAGCTCTGGGTTGTACTCCTGCCAAACACGATTGGATTAAGATTAGTTTTTCCTGCCACTACTACTACTACTACTTTGGTCTCGGCAAGCAGAAATGAAATATGTGATTATTTGCAGGGAGGTGAGATCTGATCACACATTCAGGACACTGGGTGTGAACAGGACCATTCATTAGGAAAAGTAAATAACCTGAAAGTAAAAAGAAAGGAGTTTGTTGTGTTGTTTATTTAATCTCACTCATATAAATGCGGTTGGCAAAATAACAAACATTTGAAATGATGTATAATTCAATAGCCCCAGTAACTGGTTATGGGCGTATGTACCTCAAACTGTGGCCAGTTCATGTGCATGCCGGGGCCGTGGATGTTGCTGAACAGCTTCAGATCCTCCTGTGGGCTGGCTGACGTGATGGTGCGTTCAAGATCTCTGTAAACTGTAGCATAACTGTGGGGGGACAAGAATTCAGAGTGAGTTGATAATCAGCTGGTGGGCGGATCTCGTCGATTTAGTGGTTTCGAACGTCTCTGACCTTTGGTTCTCTGTGAGGTTGAGGTGGCGTTTGACGTCCAGCAGCACCTCTCGGAGGAAGCTCAGCCTCTTCTCTTCAAACTGCTGACACTGGTTGAACACCTGCTCCATGTTCTCCATGTACTGAGGGGTGCAGTTACTCAGCTCGTCCAGAGACTTCTCATACTTCTCCTTCGCCTTGTTTACGACAGACACAAAAACAAACGCTCAACAGCCTGACTGTGAATGTTTGACAACGTGTTGATAGTAATTTATTTGTACTAATGTCGAAACCTTTAACGACTGTGAGGACTTTTCATACAGTGGCTGAGAGGTCTCACACAAGCACTCCCTTTCATTGTCAACATGTGATGTTACTGACGTTATAGTCGTGTTTCCGTTGTGTGTCTTTTCTAGTTGTTTTGTGACTTGTTGCCTTCATGTTTTCTGTGGTTGTGTGAGACGTCTCTGACGCCGTAGTTTACCTCGTGTTCCTGTTTTCATCTCTGGGGTCAAAAGTATCAGATAAAGTCATGAGTGTGAAGGTGAAGGCCGTCACTGAGGTTCAGAGTCCACTTCACCACAGAGCAGCTCGTGTTGAAGCAGTGCGGGGAGATAACAATGCTACGCTGATTCAACCCCTGCTGCCTTCATAACTAAAAACCAGCTCTACGTTTTTTTTAAAAGCCACTGAGCTATGACTGTTGCATGAAGTGGATCCCACAGACATGTTGCAGCTGCTGAAGTTCTCACCTTCTGTGAATCCTGTTTGCATTTGTCCACTTTCTCGTGGAGTTTCTTCTGCTGGTCGGCCGCGACCGAGGCCTCGCCCTTACTGTTGGCCTCTCTGGTGGACGCCAGCTTCTCCTCTTTACAGGCCATGTGGTATGACTTCTTGGCAGCCTCCAGCTGCAGGGGGAGACACAACATAAATGAAACTAAGCATCAATCAAATGAGGCTGCAACTAAATATTATTTTCAAGAGTAACCGATTAATCATTTGGTTTTAAAAGTGTTAAAAATGTAATCAAATGTCTTGATTACATTTGTCTGTCAAAACTCAAAGATATTCAATTTACTAACACAAAAGACAAAAAAAATTCAATTCAATTTATAGTAATTTTGTATTGCGTGTAAAAATGCTAAATGGTGTGAGACTTTGTCGATAAAACAGTTTTTGTAGTCAAAGTCTATAAAAAGTGGGTTCAGTCACATGGACGGCTGCTGGGCTGAACATGTGTAAACGAGTTTTGAAAACTCATTTTGAGAAATGTGACTCTGCAACTGTAAAGAAATGTAATTTGTCACTCAAAACATTATATCTGGGAAACTCAACAGCAACACATCATCTTAGAAACAATGTTGTGGTAATTTCTCAAAACTGTCAACAACACCGACAAATCTCATTCATCACTCGTGTCAGACTCTGCGATAGAAAACCTCAAACATTCAAAACAAACTCAGGAACCTGTTTTTCATTTGGATTAAAAATGGACGGATCAGTGAAACCTGGCTCACCTCTTTTAGCTTCTTGGCCCAGGGTTTCTGAGCCTTCTTGAAGCCCTCGTCTGCCTCTTTGGTTTCCTTGAATCCTCCCATCATCTGTTTGTGGTACGCGTCCTTCTGCCAGTTCTTCACCTTCTCGAAGTCCTCGTTGATCAGATTGTTTTTCACGTCCTGGTGGAGCTCGCTCACCTTCTCTGCCTCCGTCATCACCGCCATCCAGGCTCGCTCGACCGTGCCGTACTGAGGTCCTGCACGGCAGAGGGACAAATGGATGAGCAAAACACTGACGCTTTAAGTCAAAGCGAACAAACTCCAGACGTCACAAACTTCTCACCTTTGTCAACCAGCTGTCTCCATCTCTTGGACCATTCGGTCAGCTGCTGTGCGTAGGATTTCTCGATTTTGGCACGCTCCTGGATGCAGTTCATCACATCGTTGCAGAGACGATGACCATCGTCGATCCGCTTCACTGAACGTTTGTAGTTTCCAACCTGACAGAAAAAAACAAACAATATCTATCAAAACAATATCTATCTATATCTGTTACTTTCTGGAATTTTATTTGGCGGTTAGGTGTTGTTGTTTTTTAGTTTCCCATGTTTCATTAATTTTTCTCTTTGGTCGCTGCAGTGTTTCAGCCTCTGGCTCTGCCCTGGTATTTAATCTGAGGTCAGGTATTGATTTCCTGTTTGATGCTACTCAGATTTGATGAAGGAAAAGATCGACGTCTGTCTGAAAGTCAGATGAGACGATCAATATCAGCTTCCATACCTGTGTGTTATGTAGCTTAGCATAAAGTCTATCTTGGCTGTGACCAACATTCACAAAACCTGCTTGTTAATTAAAGAGCGTGAGAGAATGTGGGTTTTTAAACTTAGGAAAGTTGAAGAGCAGCTGATTCCATCGACTTATCTTCATGTCTGAGATAAATCAACAGGCGGCTGCATCTATAGCTTCATATTTACTGGAGCAGCATGAGCGTTGTGTCGGTGAATTAAAGTACTTTCCAAAATGTAGAACTATTTTCACTTCAACTTAGATTAGTATGTAACATATACATTCAACAGTCCGACATATGGAGGCTTAGAACAGCAGCTGCAGGTTTGGTTCAGACCCTTCACCACTCTCTCGCCCCATTCACAATTACTTTCCTATAATAACATACATTATACAATAATTGCCAATTTTATATTGATAAATGTATCTACTGTGCTCAACGATAAAGATAATCTGTGGGGGTCGATTTGAGAAAAGGTCTAATTTGTTATTAAATGCCGTAAATGTCAGCGGGCGTGTGGGTTAAAGGGATTGTATTGGATTTGGCTGCAACACTGTTTACCCCTGACACTCCTAAAGTGTTATGTGGACTCAAACACTTCACTGACTCCTCCATCGGCATAGTGGTGAGAGGACTACCCCTTTAATTTCATATAATTTATAACTCTGGACGCAGGAGCGGCAGCCTCACAGGGAGCTGTTGGCTCTGCCCGGATACAGAGCGAACCACAGCTCACTGCATCCATCTCACACCTCAATGACAGGGGAAAAATCTTAGCTGCGTCTTCACTGGAAGAGAACTCCATGTTTACCTGCTCCTCACTGAACAAACCCCTCAACAAACGTGGACTAAACGTGTTCCACAGCAGCTCTGGGCTCCAGCAGAGCCGAGGCAGCGTTCGGCCGAGGCAGCACTGCAGCAGCTCGGCTGTGATGTAGTGAGCTCGTGTTGAGAGCAGACACCTCGACTAAAGGGACACGATGAGGATAAAACACACACAGTCCAGTCTGAGGAGAAAACGTGTGTGAAGAGAAGGGAAATAACTGCAGAGTAAAGCCATCGTGTGTAGTGTGTCCAAACACACGCAGCTGCAGGACTGTGTCTCTACAGTCTCCAACTCTCTAAATAATGAAAAGACTTATGGGAACGTGTTGCTCAAATTACAGCAACATTATTTGTGTTTGAAAAAGGTTGTTGGTTATGTAATCTTGTGGGAGAAACCCCGTACAACACGCTATCATCTAAAGCTCAAACAAATAATCAATTATTCAATCGACAAAACTCTGCGTCTGCTTTGGATGATTGAATCATTTATTCAAGCAAGTTCATCCTTCGTTCAGCTTCGCATTCACAAATCTTTTCTGCTTTTCTTTGCCTGATGTGACAGCCACAGTCTCACTTGTGACTATTCCTGCTAATGTCAAGACAGATAACCCAAATTCAGACTGCACATGGGGACAGTTCAAATACACAGTATTTATTTAGACTTATGTGTTCAGTACACAGGTACAGTCAAATCGTGCAGAGGTATCCAAACCCACAGAAGCAAAGGCAATGTAAAAAAAAAAAACGTGGTCCTATGACATGAGGAGAAAACACAGGGGGAAATGCTGGATATTATAAAATATATATGAAGGAAATAACAAACTTAAACAACTGAGACACAAACCTAATGTGAAGAAAGCAACAAGGCAAAGTCCATGAAAACAGCAACAAAAGATCCACAACGACGAATCAAAAAGTTCAACAAAGAACCTCAAAAGTTCACGAGTCTTCACGATACGTGACTTATAAGACCTGAGGGAACTTAGTTCAGACTCATTGAGACTTGCAGACACAGTCAGGTGAGTGTTGTTAATAGATCAGACTCTGAGGTCAGTGATTACACACTAACCATGAAGCCGTTGCTACATTTATATCTGTACCGACACGCAGCTGATAAATGTCATCTCTGCCCCCCCCCCCCCTCGATACAGCAGGTTCAGAGAGAGTTCATCACTTGGCAGCGTCAGCTCCCAGTCAGGTCTAATCTGTCAAACCAGTGTCCCCCCCCGTGCTCTCACCTCCCAGAAGCTGTCTGTGGTCTCCTCGGACTCTTCGAACACTCCAGACATGGTCCCAGATTTGGCAGGAAGGCTTCAGGCTGTGGTGTCTGCAGCAGAGTAACACTCCTCATGCACTGTGAAGAGAGGAAGAGAAGATGAGCACGGAGGAGCGTAAACACAGAGGGAGACGTGAGACGCATCAACACCTGAACTCAAACAAGCTTGAACATCTTTTGGTTTTTTGTTCCATCACTTCCAGACTGAGTAAATATTCCTGCAGCTCATGTGATCACACCGTCACAGTTTTAATCTTAATTAGAGGAGGGGAAGTTGAAATATTAAACGCAAAATGCTTAGAAACAATTAACCATGCAGGCTAAATGTAAGTAAAGATTATTCGATAATTTCACTCTGTTCATGGCCCAGATTCTTTGTGATTAAACATATTTGTAACTTTGGCTGCCACAGGTCTCTTCAGCCTCTTTCTCTCTCTCCGCTCCCCTGAGATCACTCTGTCAATACAACTGCCTTTGCAGAATAATCTTCAACTAACTGTATCCCTCTGTCACAGGGACCCCTCATGCTGCAGAAATCAATAAGTGTGATATGACTGAGAAAAAAACAGATCAGATCTATCTGTCCACCTGCCTGCGTCACCTACCTACCTGTCCATTTATGTTTTACTGAACAGGCTGCTGTGCACGGCCCAGGAGGTCAAGTGGTTTTGTTTGACGTTTTATTTGCATATATTTATAGTTTATAAGGCTTTGTCACTTTGCTCTGGGGAAGGTTAATACTTTACTTACTTATTACGGCCACAAATAGATGCTGAACAACCACAGAGGGACCTCAAAGAGACACAAACGTCAAAAAAGACTGATTGCAATTTCACAAGGTAGTAAACCATTTAACTGGCACAGATTGTGTTGACATCATAAACTCTTTCAATCGTTCTCCAATACGATATGAAATTTAATTTTGACTGAAATCTGAAGAGCCATGAATTATCCCCCGGAAATCAGTGAGAATGTAAAAACGCCCTATCTTACACTGTTAAAGAAAGTGCCAAAATGCAATGGGTTCTTTCTTGGCCCCTGTTTCATCCTTAGACCAAGTTTCATGGAAATCTGTTAAGTAGTTTTTGTGTAATCCTGCTTAAAAAACAAATGGACGAATTACCAAACTCTGATGTGAACATTAACCTCCTTGGCCGAGGTAACAACATGGTTAATTCAACACTACTGACGTCAGTGCTGTTAAAGTGAAAGATGAAACTGAGCTGGAATATGGAACGTGAAATATCGATAAACACATGATGTGACGGTGGGAGAATTTAATCAGGATGTGTTAAGTGGTTGTTACTCATTAATTTCAGTGCTTTATTTAACGTCCATAGTTTGCCGGGAAATTATCCTTGAAAGATAATTTAGTTTGATCTAAAAGAAAAACTTGAAAGGGATTTTCGTCCTTATTAAAAATATGAGTACCATGTGAATTAGTGAGGTTTTGTGGAGCTGGTGGTTATTAATCAAACCACTATTTGATTAGTAAAAGACTGTTTAATTATTATCTCATCATCGACAAAGACAAAGCTGCGGAGGAAGAAGAGTTTGATCCAGAAGAGACACACATTAACAAAACAATAGAGAGAGAAGGAGCAGGGCTGTGTTGTGATAGGAGGTCAGGGGGAGGGGCGGGAGCTATGTGGGTATTTGGGTCAAACGTGAAACGATGGATGGATCAACACTTTTCACAATGAAGTGATGAGAAAATATTAAAAAATCCAGTTTATTGGGGGAAAATCTTTCCTGCGAGCTTTGGGCAAAACCAACCGGAGCGTGGGGTGGAGAAGTGGGTGTTTATCATGCTTGGTTAATCCATTAGCAACACGCAGAGAGGGGGCTTTTGTTCGGGGCAGCCCTTCAGATAAAGGCAGGAAAACGACCAGTGACTGACTTTTCATCACCAAGTGAGACAGAAAGAAGAATCCGACTATTTCTGATTTAGAGACTCTCCAGAGAGTTGTCCAATGTGGACAAACAACGCCCACATCTACACACGTATACAAAAACCTCTAAACATTGGCAGCACCATCCAAGGTTTAGCACCATCTCCTTTCTTGACTCTGTCTCCTCCTCTGCAGCCTCATCATCCTCACAAACAGAGGTACAGGAATCCCCCATCCCTCTGAAACAAGTGCACAGGCATAAAGAAAACAACAAAAAAAACATCACCACAACCTCGCAGCATCGACCCGTCAAGAGTCACAACCCCGGCGACAAAAGGCCGTCAACACACCCAGGTAGAGAGAGAGAGAGAGGGAGGGAGAGAGGAAGGGAGAATGCAGCCCCCCCCTGAAAAAAGCAACAAAAGCTTACCCCTGGTCCTCCATGAACAGCGGCTAAGGCTACAGCTAGGAGAAAGAGACACGTGGGCTCCTCTGGCAGACAGCCCCTCTCCTCCTCCTCCTCTTCTTCCTCCTCCTCCTCCTTGCCTCCTCTCCTGTATACGTTTTGGTTTTGCTCACCGCCGTCCACTCTGACTGGCTGGAGCATCAGCGAGCAGAGAGTAGAGGAGCCGGTCCCCCAATCTGTGATCCAAGATCTTCCGGCCGGAAAAGACTGTGTGTGTGTGTGTGTGTGTGTGTGTGTGTGTGTGTGTGTGTGTGTGCTTTTCTGAATGAGTGAAGGATAATCCTGTGGTGCTTTGGCTGACAGGCTCAGACGGAGCAGCAGGCCAGGGGGAGGAAACTAAAGGGGGGTGTAGAGCCGCTGGGTGAGATGCTGTAGTGTGGACGTGTGAGGCATTCAATGAGCAGAGCGACAGAGTTGCAACTCCACTAAAAGTTCAGACTCTGAAGACTGGTGACTACTGCTATACATTACACTATTTATTAGTGGGTGGCTGTGATCAGCTTTCAGGAGTCAAAAATACCAGGATGCTATTGGAAAAATGAAAGACTTTAAAACTTCCTCCATGTCAATGCACCACAGTTCAGGCTGCAGTAAGAGACGGGCCGGGTGGAGACTAAAGGAGAGGACGGTTACGACACATCAAGTGGAGCATCTGAAGGGCGGTGGAGACTCTGGGACAGATGAACTGTTCAGAATGAGAGGTCAGAGAGCAGGTCTGTGCTGTTGACACAGCAGCCATAAAGTGATTAATAATTACACAACTCATCATAAAGTAAAGCTACCCAACCTGATGGCACGTAGAAGTAACATTCCAAAACAAAGAAATATAAGAATCAATGGATTCATGAACAAAACCATTGTTAAAAGAAAGAAGGAAGTTACTGAGACATTTCCCCAGTCTTATCCTCCTCATTTAAATCTCGGCCATTATCTCATACATCCTGCTTCTAACACTGCAACAGAACAACAGAGGGAGACGTCAGTCACTGTGATCTCCCTGACAACAAGACTGTCAACATGAGAGTTCGGAGGGAGGAGGGGACTACCGATTGTCTCTTTTAACCCATCGTCTCTCCGTGCAGTTTGCAGCGGGTGAGAAGGAGGACAGATGTGAGGATGAGGAGGATGAAGATGGTGTGGTAGAAAACACCGCCATAAAGTTTGTTATCTGAGAGACCATTTGGTCGCATTATGGGAAATGTAGGATCCAGTGCTTTTGGAGCTTGACCCTTTAGACACTAGTAAAAAGTCAGGATTTCTTGGCTTCTTCGACTACTACTCAGCACCGATAGGGGGATGGAGTCAAGGTAGTGAGGTACCACCAATACATGACCTCAACCAATCATCAGTCAGTCCCAGCTGTCAATCATGACATTTCTATTGCATCAAATAACAAATTAAAACCAAACTTATCAGAAACATGAACACTTGAACAAACATCAGTAACATGAGAACTACCTAAAGTAATAGAAACTGTCTTTAAGAAACATTTATTTATCATGCATTATTTGGTTTTGCCCCATCCACTAACCTGGAGGAGACAGGGTTTATGAGCTATACTGCCGCCAGTCACCAGGGAGCGTTTGTGATGCTTTAGCTTTTGGGCAGCTTTCATGTCATCCATCTTTATTTCTATGGTCCTGACAGTGACATAGAACTTTTTTATCCTCAAATATCAACCGAGACTTACATCCTCTCCAAGTGTCTGTGGATTTACCCTCTGAGCACAAACGGACATCTTGGCCACATTATCCAAATGCAGCACTTTCTTTCCCTCAGGACTAACTGTGTTGCTGCTGCTGCCCTCATCAGATTCAACTCCTATATATAGAGGCACATTCATCAATAATTCACACTGCTGTGTAAACAGATAGGTGAGACGACCGAGCCGACTCACATGGAGAAACTCTTTAAGGTTTGATGTAATCTCATGTCATTCTCAACACAATGAGATTATAAAACAAAGAGGGTGATGTAAGGGGGCTGCACAATTTCATGCATGTGACCACATGTGGTAGGTCCTGTTTACACTGTATACATTAGCTTTCGTCATATCTATAGTTCTTCTTATTTATTTTTAGTATTGCTAATGTTCAAATTACTTGACAAATTTCTATTTCTGTCTTCTTTGCTGCTGTAACATGGGACTGATAAAGGATTATCTTATCTTATCTTCAAACATTGAATTTTCCCAAGAGTTTTGTGCTTAAGACGTCACTATAGAAAATAAAATAATTAAACGGGAGACTTGAGATTTTCAAAAGTCCTGTGATATTTTGTTAATCCAACGTGCATTGAAAGTTTTTTATTGGACGTGCTGATATGAATCTTCAGGAGACAAAGTTGATAACGATATGACGGAGTAATTCCAATAACAATATATATCAGCAGATATAAAAATTGGCCATAATGTCAATGAAATGTAATGTTATGTATCGTATTCAGACCATCTCTCCACTAGGTTACATATTCCATACATACGGGGAATTGATCCCCCGGAAAAATTATCGGAGTTGAGAGATGGTCTACTCACTCAGAGAACCAAGGTTACCATGTAACTATACGTCAAACTATTTAACAGTTTAACCGAAAGTTAGTTAGTTATTATAAATAACTATCAAATTAAAGGAAAACACAAATACAACCAAATACTGTATATAAAACTTGAATTATTATTGAAAGAAGTTTTTACATAAACATAAATGCACATCTTTTCTGCA